TAAGATGGTCTGGATAGAGTTCATGGCACTTGGCTTCAGCTTGGAGCATCCCTGGTTGATGTAGCCACTTAGGGAGTGAATTAGCAAATGAAAAATACCTGTCTCTCTCTCTCTCTCTGACACTCTGCCTTTTCAATAAACAAACCCTTAACAAATGAAAAAGAGAGCTTTAAAAAAAATGTCTTCTCAATGTTGAAGTGTGATTGGCCTATCTTGGTTTAGATCCACAGCTCTGGATCAATCACAATAGCCAGGAAAATAGAAAACTACCCCAGGCTGGACCATGTGCCTTCTCCCATGTAGAGGGATAACTAGTAGAAGAAGTGGGGGAATGGAAGCTGCAGAAAAATGAAAAATTTTCTAAAAGATTCACAGCTTCTAACTGGGAAGGACAACCTGTACAAGACATCTCACGTGCATGCTAGGGACACTATTGGTAATATGGAGAGATAGAGAGATGACTATGTATTACTTTTTTTTTTTTAAATCACACACATAGGATAAAGAGAAAAAAAAACGTGCGACTAGTATAAAATTAGAGGATCTCTTGCAAAAGCAGTGTAGCAGATGCATTGAGAATACTGGACTTGAGTGGAGCGATCTGCTCTTGGTGCTATTTGCAGTGAAAAACTACTGCAAAACCTGATCTGCTCAGGCAAGCAGAGGGACCCCCTCTAGTTACTCCAGCGAGGATATTTTTGATAAGTGGATGAGGAGGAGGAAGAACAAAGAACAGTGCCACAACTGCTTTCAGGAAATAGCCTGGGACATTGGTCAGTCCCAGAAAATCCTGCTCAAACTTGAAAGTGGTTGTGATCCTACTGTGTGAGGTTGAGTTCCCAGCATACAGTTCCTTTGAGAGCATGTTTTACATGTTCATGGAAATTCTCCATAGGATGGGCCCTGAGAACCGCCATGTGATCAAAATGTCTACTTGGCACAGGTGTCCACTTGTATTCTTGCCACCAGTTACAAATGGAACAGGGAACAACCAATAAATTGCTCTCTGGGGCTTATAAAACAATCAGCTTTGTTTGGGATGAGTTCCTGTCAAAGCCCAGGGATTCAGGGTTGTGTGCAGACAGGACCAGTGACACCCCCCACCCACCCACTCACGCACACACAACCACAGAAAAAGGATACAGAGTGTTCTGAACCCTTTTTTTCTTTGGCTTCTCAATCAGACAGACATTTCTAAACAAACAGCTTTCCTGTTGAGAGACCTCTTCTGGCCAAGTAGAATACAAGCCTTGTTGGAGAGGTCAAAAAGTGGGAACAGGAACTGATACGTGAATCTCAAAATGCAGCGAGAGTATAGATTTTTACCAAAGCACTATCGAGTGAGACTCCAAGGAGCGTGAAATGATTTTAATTGCACGTCCATGGCGAGTCTTGCCATGAGCAAGAAGTGCACCTAGCACCTAGTGAAATAAGTGTGGGTTGTTTTTTTTTTTTTTTTTACAGCAAATACTATGGGAAAATCAAAAGCTTTGTGACACAAAGCAGAAAGCAGGCAACAGAAGGGGTCCTGATCATATCACTTCAATGCAGACAAAAATAACACAGCATGCCTCGAAGGTAGTTGTCCTTCCAGTAAATCTCAAAACTCCAAGATTCTCTCTATCTCCTGTCTGCCTCCCAGTGTTTTAGGAAACAGAAACTTTTTCTAACAGGATGCAGGTATCTCTTTGGAGATTTCAGACTTTCAGCAGCTCAGTCACTTTACAATTAACCTTTTCAACCTAACAGCATTTCTGCCAAGTATTTATGTTGGCGTGTGTGTGTGTGTGTGTGTGTGTGTGTGTGTACACAAATGTGTAGGCGTAGATGAATACTTCAGCCTTCCTCTGTGGTAACTGTTTTCTGTTCCATACCCTTCTGGGTGGAGGTAGAATGGATTTCCTTATTTCCTTCCTAATTCTCACTGACTGAGAATTTATATAATGTGTGAACAATACTCTTAGTGCTCTTTCTAAGCCAATCCCTCCCTTTTTCATGTCTTTGACTTTAATTTTTTTTTTATCATAAGATGACACCATTTGCTGCTTTCCAACTTATTCTCACCTACCAACGTCCAGCACCTTTCTTTAAATTCCTAGAAGAAATACGCTCCTGGAAGTCACCAACAGAATTCTTACTAATAGTTTTTGATGATTTCAATATTTTCACATATAATCCATCCAGTTCTCCTGGCCTTAATTCCCTACGACCTCCTCTTCCACAGTGATCTTTTTAACTCAGTATACTGTGCGTTTCACGTCCTTGGTTATACCTTGGGCCACAACCCCTCCACATTCTCTATCCCCTGCATCCCACTCACAGGCCACCACCTTTTATTTTGTTAAGCACATACTTAGTAGCATCCTGCTCCAACAAAACTTGGGATCCCACCCCAACTATAATCTTAGTCCTACCAACTTTTCACTGCCCCCTATTTCACATTTGTCTTGTCGTTCCTTCTTTAATTACTTACTTTAATAATTTCATTACTCCTTTGTATTAATCTTTATTTCATTTGCCCCTTTCTTGGTTAATAGTGTTTTTTACAAAGACAACTGAAATTCAGTTCTTTAGCTCCTTCATGCCAGTAACCACATGATTTTTTTTTTTTTTAAAAAAAACAACCCACTAAATTTTGTTAATTGGTCTCACTTTAGTGGTCATAACCTCACCTGGGTCCTTAAAGCCATCTGGCAATTATATTTATCTCTAGTTTCTATTTCCTGTTTTCTGGAGTACCATTTTATATTTTTTCATCCTTCCCCAAACCTTCCATATCTCATCCTCTATTTTATTAACTGGTGATCTTTCTTCATATTTGTATTAGTGCCCTCTCATTGTGTAACAAGTTGTCCCCAAATTTAGCATCTTAAAACAAATTAATAAGATCTCAAACAGCTTCTAACTGGGTGGCCTGGTTCAGGGTCTCTTATAGGGTTGCACTGAATTTATTAGCCAAGAGCAATCTCTGAAGATTAAATTAGAGCTGGAGAATCTATTCTGAGGCTCATTCACGTCAGTTCCTTGCCAAACTGGCCTCTGTGTGTGATTGTTCCTGTCAGGCATGGCTTTCCTCAGCCTATATGCAGAGGGGAGATGGAAAAAGACGGGGAGGTGGTGGTGGAGGTGAAGATGAAGACCTGTGTATATATCGATTCATTCCTCAAATTTTTGGCTGCAGTCAGGGCTGGGCCAGGAAAAAAATCAGGTCCTCCATCCTGGTCTCCCACATGGGTAGCACAATCTTGGACACTTGGGCCATCTTTCATTGTCTTCCCAGACAAGTTGGCAGGGAGCTGGATTGACATACAATGTCCCAACTGCATCTCAAACCATTGTTCCCTTGATGGGATGCTGGTTACAAGTGTCAGCTTAACCCTCTATGCCACCATGCTAGCCTTTGCTCTGAACTTTAAAAAAAGACTTTTCATTAACCCAAGTTTCCTTTCAGCCATTTGTTTGTCTCTTTACAGTACAATGCATTGAAAGAGTTGCATGAAATGATGGTTTCCAGTTCCCTCTCTCACTGTAAGTATACTCCAACAGGCAAAAGCACTAAGACAATTGCCCCCAAAGACACCCCTCATCATAAAAATTAATTACTTCCACATTTTCACATCCAAGTCAGTTTTCAGCCTTCCTCATCAGGATTTGACTCACATGGTCTGTTCTCTTCATTGGAATATTTGATTTTAAGCTTGGCTTCTGAGGTGTTACAGCGCTGCTTTCTTCTTTAGCTCGCTCATTCTTCTCAATGTGTGGACATTTCCCCCTCTGCTTCTCAGCTTAATATGGGAATACTGAGGGGTTAGCTTTAGACTAAAAAAAAAAAAACAAATCTATTTAAAATCATATTTTGGCATTCCTTTGCTCAAAACCAATAATGGCTCCCTCCCCGCTGCTCCAGTTTACCTGACCACGCCTTCCCTGGAGGCACTGGTACTGTTCTTTTCTACCTGGAGCATCCTTGGAGACTACATTGACCTTGGTCCCCAGTGAAGTCTCCAGGAAAAGCATCTTGAAGAAACCTTCTTCAACATCCAACATTTCCCCAACCTTGCATTCTTTTTCTGCTTTGACAACACAACGCGCATCAATATCAGACATATGCATTGAGGTTTATTTGGTTACTTCCTTTTACTATATTGTAAAGTTCCAGGAGCACAGCAGATTTGTTCTATTCACTTACGTATATCTCCAGTGCCAACAACACTGTGTTATATAGAAAGGCTAAAACAGGGGCTGGCACAGGTAGGTGGCAAGCTAATCCAAGCCTTGCGGTGTCAGTATCCCATACGGGCCCTGATTCGTGTCTCTGGCAGCTCCATTTCTGATCCAGCCCCCTGCTTGTGGCCTGGGAAAGCAGTGGAGGACGATCCAAAGCCTTGGGACCCTGTACCCAAGTGGGAGTCCTGCAGGAAGCTCCCGGAAAAAACGGCTCAGCTCCGGCCACTGTGGCCATTTGCGGAGTGGACCAGAGGATGGCAAAGCTCTTTGTAACTTTCAAACAAACGTGTATATATTAAAAAACTCAAAATAATAGTCGTTGATTCAGTGGGTATCCCACAGGGATAATGAAAAATCCCTGGATTACAGCGGAATTTAGAGTAGAAAGGCTACGATGTTCAAAAATATGCATACGTTCGACACAGCGATGTAGGCGTAAGCAGTTGCACAAATGGATCCGTGCCATTAATCTTAATTTTTCCTCTAAGAAGCCTGTGGTGTCCACCTTCCTGTGGCTTGTTCCGTGCTTCATTTAACCGAGACCCACGGTCCGCTGCTCATTTGCTCACTAGAGCATTTGGGATGGTGCCAGCGTCGACACCCTCCGCGGCTTCAGGAAACTCACTCTCCCCGACCCGCGGTCGGACAGGAAGCGGCAGTGACGCACACCTGGAGCCTGCAATCCCGCCCCTCGGGCCTGTCGGGACCCGGGATTCGGCTCGGGGCCCGGAAGGGGCGGGCCGAGACCGCCCAGCGGACTGTGGCGGTTCCCCTGAAGCTGTTACCTTAGCGCCGGAGTCGCTGGGAGCTGTGGCGAGCAGCCGACTGTCCGCCGCTGTGCCAGCCTGTGTGTCGCTCGTCGGTGCCCACCTCGGTGTGCCCGCTCCTGGCGCCGCGCTGAGCCTTCTCTGCAGGGAAGGAGTGGTGGCTTGTGCGTCTTCCCGCTTCCTTCCCTCCCTTCCCCTTCTCTCCAGATTCCTTGCTTTTCCACTCCTCGCCAGGGGTCTGCCTCTTCCAGGACTTACTTTCTTTGGAAGATCTTAAGGCTTTTGTTTTCGTTTTTCCTCCCTTCCCTCCTGATTAGGAGTCAGATGCCAGGAAATATGGCGCCCCTCAAGAAGCCTCCAGATGCCACAAGGTTGCCCCTTGCCTTAAACCCGCGTAAGAGCAAGGCCATCCTGGCAGTGCTGGCCGAGAGGAACCAGGCCGTAGTACCAGTTGGAGCTTGGGTGGAACCCGCTGTCCCAGACAGTTCCGACATCCCAGCCTATGTGAGTGTCAGATGGACCACTTCCCCGAGCTCTGAGCCTCCTCTAGTCCGTGACGTGAAAAGCCGAACCTCTGCCCATGCGCTTTCTATTCTGACATAAGTAAACAAAAACTAAAAAAAAGCCATGGGATTATTAAAACCGGTCTTTTGACAGTGTTTGTTGAATGAGTACGTGATGACATTTGAGAGCTTTTTCAGAGGTTTGTAGAAAAAGAGAATTAAAAACGAAGTTTATTTTGATAAAAAAAAAATTGAGATCTATGCATAGTTTTGGATAATATGCATTTTCCGTGAACTTCTTCAATAGTCTGTGGTGGACCTTAAAGAATGGTGATGCAATCAATGCAAAAGATGGGTGGTAGTATTTCAAATAGAGGGAGTTTTTTGCAGTGTTAACATGAGCATGTTTTCACAATGATCCTCCTGTTTCAGTTACGTGGGGACAGTTTTGTAAGTTTTGACAGTCTTTCTTCAAATTTTCTTGGGACATTTGCCATCCTGTTTTATGGTAGGTGGCTTATAGATGTATATTTTCTGATAGATTGTGAACATCGTGAGCATTTGGAACAAATCTAACAAAAAATCTTTACATCGTTACTTTTATCTTGAATAAATGCTGCCTGATAAGTGGAGACAGTAAATATGGAATGCATAGAATGTGTGAAGAAGGTTTACCCCCACCCTGCCGATTTCCAGAAAGGCTTTTGAGAGTCTTAGTAGGATATAAGGAAGTGCTCAGAATATGATGCTTCCTCAAGAAAGAAAGGTGGGATTTTTGGTTTGATGCAGTCTGACAGAGTTTAGTGAAATATTTGGATAATTAGAGAAGATGATTCTCAAAGGGAGATGGGGACAGCAGGAAGTAGAGGATTCTAAGGGGAGTTGGGTTGGAATGGAAGTAGAGCAATGTATTAGAACTGGTTTTGAAGTCGAAGTAGCCGACTGTAGGAAGTGCAAAACTTTGGAAAAGATTAACTTGTTGTAATATTTTCAGGTGAATTCCATGACTAAGTTGTGTCATGAAATAGACACTGAATAGAGCCTGTGACTGTGATAATTTAGGCATGAATTATGATAACAAAACTTCCTTGGTGGCCAAAAATTGGGGGAAAAGACCATAGAAAACAGTGGGTAAAGAGGGACTGAAAAAGGGTGAGTGCCAAGAAATACCCCACAAGACGCATTCATATTTGGCACACAGATATTTTTGGCTCTTAAGTTACTAATTTTAAGTTACAGTTTTTAATTGCTTAAGTTATGACATATTTATAATGTTAGTGCAATCAAAATATCTAAATTTGGCATCGTTAAGTTTTTTCTGATGTTTCTCTACATTATAACTCACATGTGTATAACACGTCTTATTTTCTGAAAAAACTGTGGTCGTTTTGAACTGGGGGAGTTTAAGTATCAGGTGCTTATTGCTTCAGCTTATCTAATGTGGGAGTCTGAGAAAGGACTGTGTGAGCACACAAATGCCAGGAAACTTGATGCTCTGAAAGGAGGGGAGAGCGTCTTTAGAGACTCTTGCATGAACTAAGTGTTTGTTTCATTACCTGTGAATTACCTAACATGAGGTCTTGGCTTCTTGTGAGAAGCACTTCATTTTGTTACCTCCTTGACAGCCACTAGGGTGTGAAAAAGGCTGTGAGAGTGAGGCTGGTGCTGTAGCACAGTAGGCTAAGCCTCTTTTTGAAGTGCTGACATCCTACGTGGGCACCAGTTTGGGTCCGGGCTGCTCCACTTCTGTTTCCCGCTAATGTCCTAAAAAAGCAGTGGAGGATGGCCCAACTCCTTAGGTCCCAGCACCCACATGGGAAATCTGGAAGAAGCTCCTGGCTTCAGACTGGCCCAGCTCTGGGCCATTCAAATAAATTAATAATAAATCTTGAAAAAAAATGGCTTGAGACTGGTGTGATGAGTCACCAGGCTAACCCTCCACATGCAGCTTTGACATCTGTATGAGCACCGATTCTAGTCCTGGCTCTCTATTTCTAGTCCAGCTCCCTGCCTGTGATCTGGAAAAGCAGTAGTGACTGACTCAGGTTCTTGGGATCCTGCACGCACAGGGGGAACCCAGAAGAAACTCCTGGTCCCATTAGGGCTCGGCTCCAGCTGGTGTGGCCATTTGGGGAGTGAACTGGTAGATGGAAGATCCCCGTCTCTGTCTCTCCTCCTATCTAAATCTGGTTTTCAAATAAAATAAATTTAAGAAAAAAATTGTTTTTAAGATTTGTTTTTATTTTTATTGGAAAGGCTGATATACAGAGAGGAGGAGAGACAGAGAAAAATCTTCTGTCCAATGATTCACTCCCCAAGTGGCCGAAAAGGCGGGACCTGAGCCAATTTGAAGCCAGAGGGCAGGAGCTTTTTCTGGGTCTCCCATGTGTGTGCAGGGTGCCAAGGCTTTGGGCTGTCCTCTGCTGCCTGTCCAGGCCACAAGCAGGGAGCTGGATAGGAAGCAGAGCTGCTAGGATTAGAACCACCATCCATATGGAATCCTGGCATGTTCAAGGCAAGGACTATGACTGCTATGCTATTGCGCTGGGCCCTTTAAAAAATCTTGACAGGCTATACACCACACTGTTGGTAATGATTGCTTCTCTATATTTTTTGGGGGTCTCTTACTCTTCTGGTTAATAGAACTGAATTTTTTTTTTTCAGAACTGTACCCTTACTGCTGTGTTTTAACAATTGCCCCAAGGGACAAAACGACTTGTTTTCTGTCTTTTGTCTTTAAAGACTTCAGCCCGTGTGATCGAAGAAGAACTGAAGGAAAAACTAAGAAAGAAACAAGAAGCTCTAAAACGTTTCCAGAGACAAGTCAAACACAGAGTAAACCAACAGATTAGGCTGAGGAAAAAGCAACAGCTTCTGAAGTCGCGTGAGGTAGTAAGTTGAAAAATGGGGCCGACTGAAGACGGGTGTGAGCTATGAGGCCCACCCAGGAAGTAACACAGTTAATTCCGTGCTTTCTCTAATCTAGGAAGGCAGTGGGTTTTCATTTAGGGGAGCTTTTATTCTTATTTCGTTCGGACTATTTTGTTTAAAGTAAAACCAGGATTTTTGGATCTAGAGTTGACTCTATTAGGTTGGTGACTTTGGGCTGATTTCTTAACTTTCCTTATTATAGTCTGTCTCTTTGACTCTAACATGGCAATATGATATTTGTTTCATTGGGTTGTGTGACAATTAGGTGAGAAAACCTGAAATATTAGCAGATAGTAGGCACCTGGTAAATGTTAATTTCTCGGCCAGCTGAAGCGTTCCCTCTACCTAATTGAAACATCTTTTTGACTACTTAGTAGAGGCCTTGTTTGATTGCACTGACTTGGAGAGGGATCTTACCACCCTTCCTGAACCCCCATCGCCTTCCTCCTTCATGTAGGCAGAAAAAGAAGGTTCCATGGCCATGCAGTCTTCACATCCAGCATGCTTCACTCCTAAATCGACAAGTATTTTTCCTAAACATTTGAATGCTGTTGTTGGAAGTCCTGGCTTAGTTCCCTCCCAGGTACTTGGAGATGGGCTACAAGATGCTGAGAATGGCAGTGAATTATTCCAGCAACAAGCCCAGGCAGTGAGTACATACTGGTTTGATTTTATGTCTATGCTTTTTTTTTTTCTATCCTCTAAACTAAAAATGTGGGGGATTGCAAGATAATATTTAATTTTTTTGTATGTATATATCACGATTTGCACTTTTGGGAGTAAGGCAATTTTAGAGGCATCTAAGGAAAAATGCCAACATATTAGAGAATTTAGAACTTATTACAAAGTATTTCCTGGAAACAGATTTTCCCAATTTTACTGAAGTTTCATTTCAGATGTCAGTATCAACTAGTAGCATACAGACAGAGCTAAACCTTTGTTGAAGAGAATTCTGGTACACATAAGGGTCCTTTTGTTTATTATTTTTCTTTGACTCTTTCTCTTATTTATTTTAATTTGATTACCACAGTGGATGGATCTATACTTAAAGGTCAGGTAATAATATAGCAAAACTTCATATCTGTAGAATTTTGGGAAGAATATAACTTTTATTCGCTGATTTGTGCTATAGGCCAAATATTTTAGAAAGTAACCACTGCGAGGAGACTCATCCACTCGGATCACTTGTTGCATGCATTGGCGTGTCAGCAAGTTGACCTTGTGGGTTCATGGGGAGGAGATGCGACCGAAAATCAATGGGGAACAGTGTTCTCTTGGGCAACTGACAAAGTTTATTTCCAGGGTTCCCGTTTACATACATTTAGCAAAGCAACACTTCAAACATAGTTCTGCTCAGACATTGGTTACAGTGATCAGGTTTGATATGCAGCTCGTGTCACAGGTGTGTAAGCAGGGAGTTCCAGGAAAGCTACCAAGGTACCAGGATCACAGCGCCATTGGTGTGAGAGATTGATGGGGAGCACTAACTTGAGCTGGGATAGTAGGCTAACTAAGCACAGATGTTCTCCATGTATCAGGGGAGCATGAAGGCACATCCAAGGACTCACTGAGTGTGAGAGTGCACTCTGGGTGAGAGGCCCTCCACCTCCTCTGTCCTGGAGCCTCTTCTCAACAGGATCCCGCAGGCCTGCGCTGTGCCAGCTACCTCGTTGGATGTATTCTGACACATGTCACTCCTTAATCTCTGAGCCAGTGCTGAATTGATGAACTCTTCAGCTCTCCTTGGGTCGTGTTCTTTACCTTATTCAAAAACATTGTTGGGCCTGGCACGGTAGCCTAGTGGCTAACGTCCTCGCCTTGCACATGCCAGGATCCCATATAGGCACCAGTTTATATCCCAGCTGCTTCACTTCCCATCTAGCTCCCTGCCTGTGGTCTGAACAGGCAGTAGAGGACGGCCCAAAGCCTTGGGATCCTGTACCCACATGGGAGACCTGGAAGAAGCTCCTGGCTTCAGATTGCTGTAGCTCCAGCCATTGTGGACACTTGGAAATGAACCAGCAGACAAAAGATCTTTCTCTCTGTATCTCATTCTTTCTGTATATCTGCCTTTATAATAATAATAAAAAAAATCTTTAAAAAATATATTCCTAGGGATAGGAGGGGAAGAGAAAGAAAGTGGGATATGATGATGATGTTTTATTGCCTAAACTAACATGGTTGGTTATAATTCAACTGGTCTGTTATTATAAATAGGAAAGCTTTGGGAGCATATGTTATCAATTGAAATACTGATAATATTTTTGTCTTTTTCCACAAGTTTGTCTTTTTCTTATTATTTGATTTGTAGCAATCTTTTTTTTTTAGATTATATATTGGTCAGGAAATATTTATTGAGCTAGGCACTGCAAAAAGTAGAAGGGGATACAACATTGACTAAAATGGACACAGTCTTTTCCTTCCTGTGACTTTAAGTGATAAATTGAGGACTTTACTTCATCTGTGTAGGAATGAGTAGAACTCGCCAGCCAGCAGATATCTGAATATGCATGTTAAACAGTGTGGAGATTCTAAAGAAGTGTGAAATAATTCTATGGGTTTGTATTTCCAGGGAGAGATAAAGATAATAAATCCACAAACTAGAGAATAGTATAGAGACATTTACTGTGTTTCACGGAAAAAGTTGTTCTCTGGGAGTTTAGAAATTTTAAAATTCCAGCAAAAAGGTAGAGGAAGAATTTATGGGAGAAAACAGAATTTAAACTGTACAGTTTGAATTGGTAAGTTGAACTAGTAAATTTGGAAAAATATTGAGATCAACTTGATTAAAAGCCTAAAATTTGCAATGAATTTGATATATTTGAGAATGAGTAATAGAGCCTTTCTAATTGATAATTTCTAAGAGAGTAACAAAATATGACTACACAGGTGAGAGTAAATTGGGTTGCAAAAGCCCTTAAATGTTCAATTTTTTTTAATTGTAAAGTCATATATATATAGAGAAGAGGAGAGACAGAGAGAAAGATCTTCCATTCACTGATTCACTCCCGAAGCAGCTGCAATGGCTGGAACTGCGCCAAACCGAAGCCAAGGGCCTGGAGCTTCTTCCAGGTCTCCCAGGCAGGTACAGGGTCTCAATGCTTTGGGCTGTCCTCGACTGCTTTCCCGGGCAATAAGCAGGGAGCTGTTGGGGAGCAGGGCTGCTGGAATTAGAATCAGCACACATATGGGAACTCAGCGCGTTCAAGGCGAGGGCTTTAGCTGCTAGGCCACTGTTCCAAAAAGCCTTAAATGTTATACCTTGTTTTTCTGTTGCTTTTAGTTCTGTTTGTTTGTTTTTACCTTTGGTCAAAGCTGAACTGATTTTTAACTCTTTAACCTTCATATGCTGCTAGCTACCTAATAGATTGTTTTAATCATACCAGTTCTGTTAGTTTTTATCCACTAGATGTCACTGTGACACTAGACAGTGATGCAGTTCCATGGTGACCATAATTGTCTTGTTGAATATAAGTGAACTTTGCAGTTTTCTTGTGTGCTAGAGCTGTAGAAATATGAAATCTTAGAGGTAGAAAAGTCTTAAAAGATCGTTTGACACAATGAAATACTTAATGTTGAAATAACTTGACATTTGGAATGTTATTAAAAATATTTTAGGGCCCAGCGCAGTGACGCAGTGGTTAAGGTCCTCTCCTTGCACGCCCAGGATCCCATATGGGCGCCGGTTCTATCCCGGTAGCCCCGCTTCCCTTCCAGCTCCCTACCTGTGGCCCGGAAAGCAGTCGAGGACAGCCCAGAGCTTTGGGATCCTGAACCCATGTGGGAGACCCAGAAGAGGCTCCTGGCTTCAGATCGGCATAGTATCGACCCATTGCGCTCACTTGGGGAGTGAATCATCAGACGGAAGATCTTCCTCTCTGTATATCCGCCTTTCCAATAAAAAAAAAATAATAAAAATAAATCTTTAAAAAAAAATTTTAGGGCCCGGCGCCGTGGCGCAAGTGGTTAAAGGTCCTCTCCTTGCACGCCCAGGATCCCATATGGGCGCCGGTTCTAATCCCAGCAGCCCCGCTTCCCTTCCAGCTCCCTGCCTGTGGCCTGGGAAAGCAGTCGAGGACGGCCCAAAGCTTTGGGACCCTGCACCCGCGTGGGAGACCCGGAAGAGGCTCCTGGCTTCGGATCGGCATAGCGTTGGCCGTTGCGCTCACTTGGGGAGTGAATCATTGGACGGAAGATCTTCCTCTCTGTCTCTCCTCTCTGTATATCTGCCTTTCCAATGAAAAAATAATAATAAAAATAAATCTTTAAAAAAAAAAATTTTTAAAGATGAGGTAAAGTAGGGAGCTACAGATTGGGCAGGGTTGGTTAGGAGTTGAAAATGTTAAAGCTCCTTAATATGTCCATGAAGGTTCATTATGTAATATTTTGTCTGCTTTTGTACATGAAATTTTCATATGTTTAAACTTTTTAAAAATTTATTTATTTTTATTGCAAAGTCAGATATATAGAGAGAGGAGGAGAGATAGAGAGGAAGATCTTCCATCTGATGATTCACTCCCCAAGTGACTGCAATGGCCGGTGCTGTGCTGATCTGAAGGCAGGAACCATTTCAGGTCTCCCACACGGATGCAGGGTCCCAAGGCCTTGGGCCATCCTTGACTGCTTTCCAAGGCCAAAAGCAGGGAGCTGGATGGGAAGTGGAGCTGCTGGGATACGAACTGGTGCCCATATGGGAATATGGGATTCTGGCATGTTCAAGGTGAGGACTTTAGCCACTAGGCTATCGTGCTGGGCCCATGTTTAAACTTTGGTTAAACATTTAATAAAAGACACTGTCTTGTTCAACCTTTCTTTATTTTCATTCTATGTCTGTAGATCGTCATCTTACTTCTGCTGAAACACTTCTGCTTTTAGGTGATTTCATTGGTTTCTTGTAGTTGCTTCATATGTGGAAGACGTGGAATTAAAACTGTTTTCTTCAATATATTGAGTCAAAAAGTTCCTCCCTACACATGACCTTAATTTTAACCCCATCAAGTATTAAACAATAAAATCCATCTTAGAGCACTTCAAGTATTTAATTATGGTTATCATTTTTTTTTGGAGTTTCTATATTCCCAATGCCTTGATTGGTTTCTCCCAAATGCTATTCAGTTTTTCATTGCTCTTAAATATGGTTCCCCAAACTAAACATGATACTGCATTTCAAATGGGATTTGTCTAGGATTTCTCTTATTCTCTTCTATCCAGCGCTCTGCCCTCCAACACTCGGTGTTACTTGTTCACAGATGAGGCAAGAGGTAGGCATTGTGGCACAGAGGCTTAGGCCACCACTTCTGATACCCACGTCCCATTTTGAAATGTTGGTTTGAGTCCCAGCTGCTCTGTTTTAATTCCAGTTTCCTGGTGATGTGAATGGGAACCTAGTGGATGATAGCCTGAGCACTTGGTCCCTGCTGGCCCCTTGGAGACCCAGGTAGAGTTCCAGGCTCCTGGGATCAGCCTCAGCTCTCGGGTGTTTTGGCGAGTCAACCAGTAGATGAGAAATCTGTCTTTCCCCACCCCCTCCCTTTTCTTACCCCTTCCCTACCCTCTCTGTGCACTTTTCAAATAACTGAAAAGATCAGTCTTTTAAAAACAAAGACTGGATAAATCAAGTACTTAAAATTAGGAGTTAGAATCATAGAACTGAAAGTCTTAGATTTATTTGATTTATTTGAAAGAGTTAGAGAAGAAGAAACAGATATTGCCTTTGTTAATTCACTGTCCAAATGGCTGCAACAAGTAGGCAATAGCCGTGCTGAAGCCAGGTGCAAGAAGTGTCATGTGTGTCTTCCACATGGGTGCTAGCCACCCAGTGCTTGGACTGTTCCGTAACAGTGTCATAGTATATATCATTGCTAAACTTTTTCCTATGTGTGTGTTTGTGCTTTAATTTTTTTTAGCTTCGTTTTAAATTCTTCTGTTTCATTTATTTGAAAGGCAAAGAGAGAAAGACCTTCCATCTGTTGGTTCACTCCTCAAATATCTCTAGCAGCTAGGAGCTTAGACCTCAATCCAGGTTTCCCATGTGGGTAGCAGATGCTACAAGTACTGAGCCATCATCTACTGCCTCCCAGGGAATGCCGTAGTAGGAAGCTGGAATCAGAAGCAGAGCTGGGACTTGAACCAGGCACTCTAAGATGGGATGTGAGCATCCCAAGTGACATCTGAAACACTGCACCAGATGCCTGCACCCAGGTGTTGGCTTTGGGTTTTAAGGTTCAAATCTCAAAATTCATTTTAAAAGGACATCAGAGGTAATTAATAATACATAGCTGTACAAAATGGACCTTTATTTTGTGTATGAATTGTGCCAGGAGCTGTATTTATGAGTATTTGATATCCTACCATAGCTGTCAACCCAGCTAACTCTAAGGTTAGGAGGAAGCTACCAGAGGCTGCCCTTTACTAGGGCTTGGAAGAAGGGCAGTTTTTCTTTAAAGGTCCTTTTATTAGTACATTTGGGTATAGCTCTAGAGTTCAGTACAAATGAAATTGTGTTGGCAGTAGTTTTCCTCCTGGAGGGAAGAAAATGTAGGCTTGAGGTGACATTGTGGTACAGCACTTTAAGCTGCTACCTGGGATGCCCACATCCCATGTCCAAGTGCTAGTTTTAGTCTCAGCTATTCTGCTTCTGATCTAGCTTCTTGGAAATGCAGTGGATCGTGGTTCAACTACTTGAGTGCCTGTCACCTGTGTGGGAGATTCGGCTAGATTCCCTGGCTTTTGCTGTGTCTGTTTGGCAAATGACCACTGAATGGAACTAGATATCTCTCTCTCTGTCTGTGTTTCTCTCTTCTCCTGTCACTTTGCCTTTCAAATAAATAAATAAGTAAAAACTTTTAAAAAGAAAAATATAGGCCTGCGTTCTCTAGGACATTCCTGGGTTCTGACATTATATATGTATCTATTTGTATATATATAATCTGAGAATCCCTGCATCTACATGCTTACGTGAAGAAGTGACTTGATCTTAATTTTTATCATTGTTTTTTAAAGATTTATTTATTTTGAAAGAGTAATTAGATAGAAGGAGAAAGAGAGCAAGAGAGAATAGACTTTGCATCAGTTGGTTCACTGCCCAAATGACCACAATGGCTGGGGGTGGGTCAGGCGAAAGCCAGGAGTGAGGAAGTCCGCCTGGCTTTCCCACTGAGTGATAGTGACTCAAGGACTGGGCCATCTTCCCCTGCTTTGCTGAGCTCATGAGCAGCAAGGAGCTAGATCAGAAGTAGAGCAGCCGCCAGCACTTGAATGGGTACTCCAATGGATGCCAGTGTCACAATGTGCCTTACCCTATTGGGTCACAACACCAGCCACTCTATGTAACTTCAAGTGCATGTATATCTCTTGGCACTGTATTATAACTCTGTCTTCACACTCTGCAACCCTTTTTAGTGTAAAAAAAATAGCAGTGTTTCAAGTTAATTTCTTTAGCTAGGTGTATAGACCCCTAGAAGCAAGGACAAAGGACAGCTGATGTATTGCCAGAAAATGGGGCTGGTAATAAGAGATAGTGTTTTTATTCCTAGCTTATTAGTGGTCTAAATCATAAAGTATTTATTACTTAGATTTGTAAGTCATAGTCATCATTTCCCTTCAAGGAACAGGTTATGTCATTAAACTTTTAGTGACTGCCTGTGGTCCTAGTTTTGCCATCATTTCACTGAGTAGTTTCAAGATGTGCTTTTCTTTTACACAATGTAGCACTTATCCTAAAATATGGTAGCTATCTTTCCTTTTCCCTAAATAGGGCATTTTGGAGCAGATATTTTTTTTGAGAAAGATCTATTTATGTAGTTGAAAGGCAAAATGTCAGAGAGGGAGAGACATAGAGAGCCTCTGTTTTGCTAATTGACATGTCAGTGGCTGCAGCAGCTGGGATTTGGACAGGCCAAAGTCAAGAACCAAGAACCCCATCCAGGCCCCCCATGTAGGCAGCAGGAACCCAAGTACTTGGACTATCTGCTGCCTCCCAGGCTCATTAGCAAAAAAGTTGGGTTGAAGAAGAGATAGGATTTGGTCCTAGGCGTGCCAGTAAGAATGTGTGGGTCCTAAGTGGTAGCTTAACCTGCCACATAAAACACTCACCTTAAAATACTTAATTTTAATAGTTATTGCCAGATGTTATTTTGAGTGGAAACAGAAGGGTTGGTTCTGTTGGGATGTTTAGAGTCTATGTTCTAAGTTAGTAAGGAAGGAGAATCCAAGAATGTTTAAATAACTGATCTTCAGATTTTGGAGTGGAATGGTGATTCATGAAAATGGGAAAAAGAGTTTAAGAGAAACTGGGAAGAGAATCTGGTAATACAGAATTACTGAAAGCAATTAACTGTGCAGAGACTAGCTTAAGAAATAACTCCTTACAGAAAACATAAATAGAAGATAAGGAATATATCTGTTTAATGATTACCTAGTACATTAATTCAGACTTTAAGTTCTGATATTTTTGTGTACATACTTTATGAGCAAAACATTTAAATATCAGCTGTTAAGTACAGTACAGTGTCTTATGATAATAATGTTGTAAAACAATCAGCGGATCAAAGTCTTCTTGGCAGGTAATCCTCTTGTCGTAAGCCTGGATTTTGCCTGTTTTTTTTTTTTTTTTTTTTTTTTTTAAACAACAGGGACCTGTTCTGTTGGAACATTGAGTGCTCTTCGTATTAAGGCTTTAACTTATTTTTGTTTGCTTTTTTCCCCTCCTTTCTCTGGCAGCTTCATCAGAACATGAAATTGGCACATCAACGGCTGGCATCCTTTAAAACTGTGCCTATAAAAAAGACATCGGTATTTCCAGATGGTAAGAGGAAAAACATTCTTACTCAAGAGGTAAATTAATTTCTAGTACACCATTTAAAAAACACAGATAAGAATAAAAAAATTTATATCTTACTATAATTAGAATTGTAAAATAATTAGAAATAACCTTAATATTCAATAGTAAGGAATGCTTGAGTTGTTATACACAGCAATTGTAAAAGACCTTGATTTTTCAAAGAAAATCTGAAGACAAGGTAAAGTATCCCTGTTGTAAAGTGAAAAAAGTAGACAATGAATTAATACATGATATGGTTAAGTAAAATTCCAGAATGTATTCGGCAAATATTTATGGAGTATTTCTAATTGTCAGACATAATGATACAAGTAGGACTTAGAGTAGCATGAAGACAAAGATAGGGAGAATCAGGCTGGTGGCATAAGGTGCAGACATGTTCGGAATGACAGAATCATTAGGGTGAAGCACCCTTATAGGATAAGATAGGAGTCAGGCAGTTGGCAGGGGTACCTGGAGACCCCCTGGACACAGGGAAGTGGCAGTGACAGCGAAGCAGTGTTATAGAGAACAGAAAACCCAGCAGCAACCCGTGAATAGCAGAATCTAGTGGAGGCCACAGATTGGCGCTTGCGGCAGCCAGGTGGGAGCTTGGGTTTGCACAGGGAGCTCAGAAGGTGAAGGCAGACTGAGATCAGTCAATCCCGCCAAATAGTTTGGCCCAGAAATGAGTAGGTAATGAGCAGCAAACTCTGCAGGACAGACCATTGGCAAGATGAAGCTCACAACACAGAGATTGGGCGTGTGGTCAACAGCAGAGTTCAGGGACGGTCTGGAGTAGGCTTGATCTAATCAGTCACACTGAGCTGAGCCCAGGGAGAAAGCAGTACCAGTCCCACATCCTGCAGGGTCTGAGTGGTCCCCAGATATGATGGCCAATAGCCCTGGATCTGTGTTGGTGCCCGCCAGGTGCCAGCTTGCTCAGAGATTAGAAGGAGCAGTGGCAAATTGCACATGTGCTAAATCAGTAGTGCTCGGAAGCCATTTTCACGGGACCAAGCACTCTTAGATTGAAGGGAGGACAGTTGAGCTGTGCAAGGGCTAAACTGGGGTCAAGATTATTTCCAGCTTAGAGCACTCACAGGCTCCTCAGAAAAAGCAGTTGCATGGTGGCACTCTGCAGACTCTGTCCTTGGTTACTCTGGGAGGTTCTGAAGGTTAGCAGCCAACATGTGTGGACAAGATCAACCCTGCTGTCAAACCGTTATTTGGGACAGTTGGATTCCTAATCCAGGGCGCTGATTGAACGTAAAAATTAAATTGTAGATCTGTAGGTAATGCATCTTAGAAACCAGCACTAAGGAGAAGAACCTGCCAACCAGAATATAAATGTCAAAAGTGAAAAGAAGAGAAAGAGGCACAATGAGAATTACCAAAGACTCCCTGGTAAAGGAGCAAATCCTGTACCACCCTCAGAGTTAACTGACGAAGACATTGAGAAAATGCTGGACACAGAATTCAGAAAACTCATTATGAAGCTACTGACCAACAATGAGAAGCCACACAGGAAATAAATATGCCACACAGGAAATAAATCAAATGAAATCTGATATTTTAGAAGTTAAGAATACAGTGGAGCAAATTAAAAGTGAGTCTCAAAAATAGAATGAATGAAACAAATAAAGAATCTCAGAATTGGAAGATATTTCTTGTCACCAGGGGGAAGCAAACGATAAGCTGGAAGCAGAGCTAGGCCAAGCTAAAAAAAAAGTATCCAAGAATTGAAAGATATGATTAAAAGACCCAACATAATTTTGGGAGTTCAAGAAGGCACAGAAAGAGAAGCTAGATTTAAAAGGTTTATTCAGTGAAATAATAAATGAAAATTTTCCTAATCTTCAGAAATAATTGAAAAATGATATACAGGAGGGTCACAGAACTTCCAACAGAGTTAATCAAAAGCGAATGTCATGATGACACATGATAATCAAGCTCTCTTCAGTTGAACATATGGAAAAGATTCCTTAAGTGTGCATGTAAAAACAATCAACTGACCTGTAGAGGAACCCTAATCAAACTCACATCTGACCTCTCAGAGGAAACGCTACAGGCCAGGAGAGAATAGAGTGACACACTCCAGGTTCTAACAGGGAAATATTTTCAGTGCAGAATAACATATCCTACAAAACTCTCCTTTGTCTTTGAAAATGAAATAAAATTCTTCCACAATAAAGTAAAACTTCAGGAATTCGCTTCTTCTAAACCTGCCCTACCAATAATACTGAAAGACGTTCTTGTGAAAGAAAAAAGGAATAGCAGCTACCAAAACCAAAGGCAAATGTGAAGAACATCCCACTAAAAGGCTAACAGAGGCAATCAAAAAATAACCCATTGCTAAAATGATAGGACCAAACTACTACCTATCCATATTAACATTGAATGTAACTGGCTTAAACTCATCAATCAAACACCATAGATTAGAGGACTGAATCAAAAACAAAACCCATCTATACCCTGCTTACAGGAGAGACATCTCACCAACAAAGGTCAGAAGAAACAAAAGGATGGGAAAAGATATTCAAAACAAATGGTAAGGAAAAACATGCAAATATAGTCATATCAGATGATATAAGAGATTAAAAAAAACTTTAAAAGAGATGAAGAAAGATACCATAGACTGATCAAAGAATCCATTAGCAAGAGGAGGGTTCCATAATAAATATATATGTGCTAAATGCCAAGGCATCTAGCCACGGTGAAACAAACACTAATGGACTTAAAGGGAGAAATATACTTCAATATGATCATACGGAGGACCTTAATATCCCGTTAACGTCAATGGTCAGATCAAAGAGACAGAAACTCAGCAAAGAAACAACAGAACTCACCCAAACTCTAGAGCAAATGAACTTAGTTGTTATCTACCAAACCTTTCATGCTATAGAGAATATGCTTTTTTTCTTCAGTACATGAAATCTCCAGAATTGACTATGTTATGGGCCACAAAACAAGCCTCAATAAATTTTTTTTCTTTGATCTTTTTTTTTTAATTTCGTTTTATGACAGTTTCATAAGCTCTGGGATTCCCCCAACTCCTCTCCATGCCCTCCCCCCATGTTGCATTCCTCCACATTGTTACAGTAGTACAGTTCATATCCAGTCATGATTCCTTCATTGCGAGCATGTACTGTGCATAGAGTCCAGCCTCTTATTGTCCAGATAAATTGAGCAGTTTTCTTGGGAGACCATTCCTGGTCTGAAAGTAGAATGGGCAGAAAATCATCCCCTCCAATGAAAAGCCACTACACAACTTCAACAATAATTTACAACATCATGGAGTTAGTTGACATGATATTGAGTGACCAATATGTTAGAAAATGCAAGTTCTTAATCACATCCTGTGACTAGTTCATTGACATTTCAATTTTAGTCTATACACAATTGGCTGCTATACACCTTAAAATGGTTATAGGGTACTGTTCAGCTGTCTCGTGTCTGTTTTCATTTTTATATTTAGCAGCTTATAGTATTGAAGCATGATTTTTACTGAACTTGGCAAATTTTAGGATAGTCAAAACATGCATCTTCTAGACCATCATGGAGTGAAGCTAGAGACCAAGAAGTCAAATTACACAGGAAGACCTGCAGACACATGGAGACTGAATAATATGTTACTAAATGAGCAGTAGGTTAGAGAAGAAATCAAAGGAGAAATTTTAAAATTGCTCTAAAGAAATGAAGGCATTAATACAATGTATCAAAACTTATGGGACACTATCAAGGCAGTATAAATAGTAAAGTTTATTTCAAGCAATACATATGTGAAGAAACTAGAAAGGCATTGAGAAAATGAGCTAACCTTATAGTTGAAGGAACTAGAAAAACAACAGCAAAGCAATCCCAAGTTTAATAGGAAAAAAAGAAATCATCAAAGTATGAGAGGAAATAAACCAACTAGAGTCCAAAAGAACTATACGTAAAACCAATGAATCAAAGAGCTGGTTCTTTGAGAAAATGAACAAAATAGACTTCCCACTAACTCAACCAATGAAACAAAGGAGGGAGAAGATATGCATCAATAGCATAAGAGATGAGAAAGGAATTAGAACAACAGATACCTTGTACATACAGAGAATTATTAGGAACTATTACAAGCAACTGTATGTGAGCAAATCAGAAGACCTAGAAGAGATGGATAGATTTTTGGACACATACAATCCACCAAAATTGAATCAAGAATCAGTTAACAATCTAAATAGTCCTATAGCATGGATTGAGATTGAATCAGCAATTAAAACCCTCCCAATCAAGAAAAGCCCTGGACCAGATGACTTCACTGTTGAATTCTACCAAATGTTTCAACAGGAACTTACCCCAATCCTACACAAGCTTTTCCAAACAATAGAAAGGGAGGCGATTCTTTCAAACTCTTTTTATGAAGCCAATATCACCTTAATAGCAAAACCAGATAGAGAAACAACAGAAAAAGATAGCTATAGAGCAATATGCTTGATGAACATAGTCACAAAGATCCTAAACAAAATACTAGCCAACAGGATCCAATAGAACATCAGACAGTCATTCACCCAGACCAGGTGAGATTCATCTCAGGCATGCAGGGATGATGCAACATTCACAAATCAATACATGTGATACATCACATCCACCAAATGAAAAATAAAAACCGTATGATCACCTCAATCAATGCAGAGAAGGCACTTGGTAAAATCCAACACCACTTCATGCTGAAACTCCTGAGCCAGATAGGTATAGAAGCCACATTCTACAGCACAATCAAAGCAATTTACCAAAAACCCAATGCCAGCATCATACTAAATGGGGAAAGACTGGAAGCCTTTCCACTAAAATCTGGAACTAGACAGGGATGTCCACTGTCACCACTACTCTTCATTATAGTATTGGAAGTCCTAGCCAGAGCCATTAGACACGAAAAAGGAATTAAAGGAATCCAAATTGGAAAAGGAAAACAAATTATCTCTATATGTAGATGACATGATTCTCTGCACAGGAGAACCAAAAGACTCAGGCAAGAGAC